GCAGCTCATAGGCTTTAAAAAAAGAAAAAAAACAAACCAAAAACAAACCCACAAAACACCCAAAACAAAAAACCAAAAACAAACAAAAAACCCAAAGGAAGAATGTTTCATACTTCATATTTTCTCACAAAAGCAGGAACAGTACACCCACCATGCTGCTTGGCTCTTTCCTCCTCATACAATGATTTAATTGAAGGAGAGAAACTTTAATGAACCATGCACACATCTGCATGAAAGCTGAGGGAAAACCCCGCTGCTGCTTTGTGGGAGCCTCAGACACGAGCACTGGGGTCTGCCCGGGTCCGCCGGAGCTCGCAGCCTGTATTCACAGAGTCGCCCCGCACTTCACTTCTAATTGGGAAAGCTGCCTTGTTTTTCAACAAAACATGGACAACCCTGATGACGAATGCAAGTCAATTGGTTAACATGTTCCACCTGGCATTATAAATTATTGCTCAGCCTTGCTAGACCTAATTTGCATAGCAATTTCCATGAGATTACCCAGAGTGCCTCACAGAGCACATTCCTTCCTAAATTGTGCAGTAGCGCATGAATTATATGGTGCATGAACAGGACAGCCAAGAGAAAATTAATGTTTTCAATTAAGTATGAGTAGCGGCTTTTATTGCTATTTCTGGGGAGTCAGCCCTTTGTCAGTCCTTGGTTATATCACATGGCTGGAGACACATGCTCCATCCTTCCCACCCCTCAGATCTCTCTCCCAGGCAGCAGCTGGACCGCTTGGCTCCCAGCTGCTGCGCGGCAAAGCCCATCCTCATCGTATTCAGTGTGAAGTACACGATCTGCCCCGGGCATCCTTTGCCCCTTCGTATTCCCACATGCCAGGACAGGTGGACAGAGGAGACCAAAGGGTTTTGCAAAGACACGCGTCAAGGTAGAGCTGTGGATCGGGCAGGGCCAAGAGTTCGCGTGCTCTTTCAACAGGGCAAAGACTCACACAGGCAGCCCCAATCCAGCACCTCCACAGAGCAGCAAACCCAGTAAGAGAAGGAGCACTTCCAGGGCCTCGCTCCGCTGGCTTCGGAGGCCGAGGCGGCTGCGGCTCAGAGGGCATCACATTCAGAACTGGGGGGCTGCCTGAGGACTCAAGCTGGGCAAGAAGGTAGGCACCTCCATTCCCCCATCATCTCCACAAACTGCACTGAAGGCATTTTTTGATTTAGGAACTTACTTCTCTAATTTTACTCCAGGTACCCATGCCAGCCCCGTTGTTACATTATTGGGCTATTTACTTATTTACCCGGTTCCCTCCACCAGCCTGCCCCAGCACAAGGCTAGGCTGCAGCTAAGGATGTGTTTGGACTTCAGCTGAGACTGAAAAGCAGCTGCAGAATTCCAGAGCAAGCTCATGGCTGCCGAGGACTCCTCTCTTTGCACACAACAGTCAACAGAGCCAAGATCTAAGTGAATCTGGCTGGAATTAATTCAAAGGCATTTCACTGTCACAGAGCACTCTAGGAACATTTGTTATTTGCCGTAGGCATGAGTCTGGGTGAACAGATCCCAGTTATTAGGATTAAGCATGGCCTTCATGTAACACCTTTCCACGCATTTGGATTAAGTCCTCATGGAATTAATTCAACAGAATAGCAACAACTGTGACGCCTACCCTCTCTCCCCCACCCTCGCCATTAGCACCCGGGGCCAGGATTGTCCCACTGCTGCTTGTTCGGTGGCCTCCTTACCTTGGTATTCCAGCTTGAAGCCTGGCTTGTTCTGCGAGTGGTCGCTGTGGAAGTACACAGTGGTTTCATGAGATGTCGACAGGAGGGAGCCTGGCATTTCGGTGCCGCTGAACCGGCCGATGACGTTACTGGTGTCGTACGGCCCGTTGCGGATTTCGACAAAGTCGTGGTTCGGCTCAGTGGAGAAGTTTAGGAACTGGATGTGAGCACCTGGAGAGGAGTAACGAACAGTCTGCCTCTAAAGCTACACCCAAGCCCTAGCACGTCAGCACCGCTCACCCAGTGACGCCCAGTACAGCCTGGTCCATCAGCAGGAGGACAGGTACCGTGCTGGAGATAGAGGGTGCCTGTAGGTCTATGGGTCCTGCTAGCTCCAGACAAGCTCAGGCCATTACGCCCGTAGTTTCATGCTGCTGGAGTTCCTGTGCACGCCTCTCCCTCCGCCTGGCACCAGAGAAGTTCGGAAGGCAAGCACAGAGCCACACGGATCAGCCCTCGCCAAGCTGAGCGCGGCCAGCTCAGGCGGCAGGCCGGGCTGAGCCAGGTGTTTCTGTTCCCCAGCAGCACACGGCAGCTACGCCAGGAGACGAAGGAGGGTTAACTCAGGAAACCCGGAGAGTCAGCACTCCTTCCAGGCGTGCAATACTTCCACCTCCTGGCAATTAAGCACCCTGATGGGGCTGGCCTGGAGAAGAGCCGAGCTGGAGGTGTGCAAATTTCCCTCTTACTAATGGCTGGGGAAACCCTAATTTTGATTGTGCCGATGCCTGCATGAACTCAGGCTGCGGCAGGATAGAATCCGACAGAAGCTTTGGTCACTTGTTGCGTTTATGAAGAGCGATGCAACTGGTGATGCTTTAAGGCTATTACAAACACGAGTAGCTCAAGACAGGCAAGTAGGCAAGCACGCTAAGGGAGGATGTTACAGCCGGTTCAGAGGCGTGCCCACAAATCCGTATCAACCCGTTATGCTCCACGGTGACCTGTAATCACCTTTTGAAAAAATATTTATCATGTCATATACCATATAAATGCATCTTTAACGGAAAGTGTGATCAGGAGGTCAAACAACAGAGTTTCTGTAACTCGTCTTGGCAAGCAAGGCACCCAGCACTGACTGAACAGGGTCGGTATCTTCCTATCATCTCTTTTGTGACGGCATCAAATCAAAACCAGCTGTCTCACCAAATCCCACTGGCAGCAATATCCTCCATGTGCAGTCCAGGTTGCTTGGATAGTTTCCTGGGAACCCTGGGCTCAGGAGCACTCCTTCCATCTCCTCTGCTGTTCCTCCACACTGGGCTGCAAAATCAACAGTGTTAATGGTCAGGATCACTTACGGGTCTCTCTGGATGATGGCCATGGCCAGCCAGCTCTGTGGGAAATAAAGAAATTAAAAACCAAGAGGAGAAAAAGGAAAGCCTGCTATGGAACTAGCACAAAGTTTGCCAGGCACTGCATGGCCCCATTACTAATGCGTGTGCCGTTCTCCTGCCCTCTGGAGATAAAAGCCTGGACCCAGAGATCCAGTTTTGGCAATCACAGTGGGAGAGACACATCTGAGCTGCAAGAGGAGAGACAGACGCTCTGTTCTGTCCATAGCCATTGTAACGCTGCACATCATGCACACAGCGCTTGGTTGAATTTTTAACCACCTAAAAAAAATACTGCGAAGAAACAGACTGATCCTATTTTGACTCCAGTTACCACTACTTCTTTTTCTGGTTAACTGATCTACCTTGACTGCTACACTTGTCAATCTCTGGGCAATTACTGATAAATATAGAACAGTGTGTTTGCACACTGACTGAAGTAAATTCCCTACCAAGAAGCGATCCAGAGATGACAGCACAAAATATGTTTACAAAAGGCATCACATGGAATTTATGCATAGATAGCATCTTCTCACACTTATCTGGATGACCTCTACCTTGTTACGGCAATACCACCCAGCCAAATACATCCAGGTACACTCCTAACACGCTCTGACAGTGAAGGTACAGATTCCCTTTGTCCAGTATCTCATTACGTGTGTACTTGCTACTAACAAAGTTTCTCCCAGAAGATTTCTCTTTCTTTTTCCTCCTAATGGCTCTTTAATAGAACTACTTCTAAATTATTTAGAAGTCAAGCATCTGGATGAAGTAGACCAAAAGAAAATCAGCACGCTTTGCCAGGGAAGCAAGCTGTTCTCTGAGCAGGGGAGAAGCAAAGCCTGGGTTCCCACGCAGCCGGTGGCCAGCGGTGCTCTGGACAGAGTTTAGACACAGCAGTGCGTGATTAGCACAGGACAACGAGCATCAGGACTGTCAGCACCGGGTGCTGCGGCATCCCCGTAACAGACGACAGTCGCTCACGACGATCTGCACTTGGCTGCAGAGATGTGTTTGTGCCTCTGAAGCTGGATGACCTTTTTCAGTCAAGTGTGATGCAAGCTGAGGGATATGAACAGACAGGCGGACGGGCATTTGTGCCACTGCACTTGGTCACGACTGTCCAAAACCAAAAATTCAGACAATCTGAATTAACTACACTAGTGTTTACACTGTGAGAGTGCCAGGTAGGCACAGCCCAACCAGGCAAAATCCCACTGAACTGGGTGACCCATGCTGATTAAAAGAAGAAAACTTGAAACTTGCAGTTGCTCAGCTAGTCATCAGCTAGACGGTAATATTGGGATCCTCGTCCACGTTGGGATCCCCCAACTCTAATGCTGAGCTGATGGGCTTGATTTCTTCCAGAGCAACTCCCATGGGCATGAGCCCTTTAGCTCAGTCATTCTGCTGTAAATGTCTCTGTATTTATGTCTGGCCTGCAGATCATCAGATAAAAGAACTGTTAGCTCTTATAATTACTTTCAAGCAAAATGATGTAAGCTAGAACAGCAGGAGCCCGAAATAACTGTTAACTAAAGCTATTAAATGCATAAATGTCTCTCTCAAAGCTGTAAAATGTGCAATATGAATATTAAACATCTACATTTGCTAAAAGCAAAATACTGAAAATAATCCAAAAACTCCAGCAAGTTCCCTTCACCTTTGTGCCTCTTCTCCTAGGGCTTACTTCTTCCACGGTGGAAATCAACTGCCCGGTCCTTTTCTCCGAAGGCCTGAAACACTCAGCAGTCTCAGCCCTGCTCCTCAGAGAGCCACGGGCAAAGAGCTGCCTTGACAAGTGACCTGGCTGGTGCTGGTCACACAGGACCTGCGAGGCACCAAAGCAGGGACAGCGAGGCACCACGCGGTGCCGTTCGGACAGCCTGGGGTGTAAGCAGGCTCCAGTAAAAGATGCAGTTTTAGCGATACCATGCTGCATTTCATCAAAATAAACCACAGTCTCAAGATCTGTGCTTAAGATGGAAAGAAAACTTTCCACCCATAAACCCAATCTGCTTTCAGTATAAAGAAGTTTTAGGTCTTCCCTTTTGAATGAATTTTTGTTGAGGAAACCCTATTTTGTATTTTACATTTTATACTATAGCCACATTTTAAGCATTCAAATAAAGCATTGTGGGCAGCCGACAGGGACTTTTTTGTTGAAATTTCCCCCTGCAACAAATGAAGATTTTTCCACATTCATCTCACTTTCAGAACAAACCTGCATTTCTCTAATGCAGACCTTTACCCTTTCTAATGCCCACCCTTCCCCCCCCCCCCCCCTTTTTTTTTTTTTAAGAAAAAGGCTATAAATATCTGCTAGGTACAAAACAACAGGAGTCCTACCAATGCAAAGGGGAGGTGGGTAATTCCAGCGGCGGACAGTGCCTGGCATGCAGGAAATGTGAGAGTGACCCTGGAGGAGAGAAAAACAAGACACAGGGTTTGGAGGGTCTCCCTGTATCCCACGTGTCTGTCCCCGTCCTTTTTGTTGGCAAATGTTCAGTACCTGAAGCGCGTAGCCTGGTTCGCACTGGAAAGAGACGACATCGTTCACTAAATAGCGCTCGCCGATCTTCAGGCCGTTCCCGGGAATGGGGGGCTCCGGGCAGCTGGACAGACCGACGGCTGCGAAGGCAAGAGCAAGGGTCTGAGATGAAGGCAGAAGGAACGGAAACGCACACCTTCATCTTCTCCCAGCCCCGTTCACCAAAAACCTGCACCACAGACACCGGGTGGGAAAGCTCCGCAGCCTTCGGATTCTCCCCAAAGACACCCCTGATCACGCAGTATTCCCCTCCGCTACAGGGCACGTCCGGGATCCAGCGGTGTTCATGCCTCGTGCCTTCGCTTTACCTGGGACACACTTTTAACAAGGTACAAAGGTATCACAAATAATTTTGTGATTCACAGCTAAACATATTTTTGGCTGAACCCTAATGACTTGACGGAAGAGCTGCAGCTGCAACAGCATGTCCGCTGCAAAGCAAAAAACCCGGCTCATTCTCAATGGTTCACAAACCAAACCACCCGCCACGAACCCTCCCCATCCGAGGTCCGGACCGGAGAGAGGACCAGAGAGGATGCAAGAGGGAACTACCTGCTGGCCCTCGCTGGCCGTATCAAGGGCATACGGTATGTCTTGTACGTAATTTGTCCCCTTCTGGGCAGAAGCAGCACGGCTTCGTTCTCTGACCCTGTTCTTCCTGTTTTCAGTTACAGACTGAATTCACCACGAGACATAAGCAGCAGTAAGCACGGCCAGTCCGTGACGGTGCTGCAGGACAGCCTACGAAAATTTCATTCCATCCCGTTTCCACCTGAGCTCCATTTACAATGGGGAATATCCTGCTGCAGACCCAATTAACAATCCCCGAAGTCGCGCGTCGGGTGACGTGCTCTCCTGTACACACGTGCCGCCCCCTCTTCCTTCTGCAACACCGAACGGAGATAAAACGAAGCCGGGCGTCTGGAGCCCCCTCGCACCCACCGCGGCTCAGCTGCCTGCCAGCACCTCCCTCGCTCTCAGTGCTGGCAGCTGCCACTGAAAGATAACCTTCGGCATCACTGCAAGGGCTAACGCTCTGCTCAAACCCTACAGTCTGCAGGCTGGGCCGAAAGCAGATGAAAAAAAGAAACGAGAGAGGAGATGCTGACTCTCCTCCTGAAACCCGAGTCACGCTTCCCAGCAAGAAAACACACAGTCCCTCCCCACACGTGACTGCATTGCTTGACCTTCAGAGAGACAAGAGCGAAAATAGCTTTAAATAACTTCCCATTCAGATCAGCGGGCACTGAGTTTCACTCAGCCCTAAGTTGTTCTTACTCTGCTTTGGCTTTCGAGCACGCAGAGATAAGAGCTGTGCTTGAGGAATCCAGTGAGGGAGAAAGGGGAGGAAACAAACTCTGGTGTTTTAGCTCATCTCTCAAAACTTCCTTGCAGCACCTCTAACCGAACAAAGACAAAACCTGGGGCTCAGAGCCGTGAAATTCCAATTGTACAAGCAAAGCAAAAAATACATTATTTCCAGCTGCCCTGAAAATCAACACCTATTAATTTTCTCAGCAAAGAAACCAAACAAGCCTGAGAATTTCAAGCCTCATGAAAAACTTGAACATGATTGTTGCAATGGGGTAGTACGATCCTCCAAGAACTTATTGATTGAAACAGAAATGGAGAAGAGAGTCACAGCAAGAAAATTTCTGAAACAACATCCATTTCTCCAGCTCCCAGAGAGCAATCCGGGGCACACTGTCTCTCCCCAATCTTGTTGGTTGCCATAATCTTGCTGGAACCATTAATATGCAAGGTTTCAATCTGCAAACCCAGTAAAACCTGGAAAGCTTAGTACTAGTCGGCCCTCTAAAAGCACACGGTATCTGCAGTCGAACAGCTATGCCATTGCTGAGCACATTTTACAAAATGAAAGGCACTTGCAAATCTATTTGCTGCTTTGATAAAAATAAACAGAACGTTGGCTGGCTTCAGAGACAAACACAAGATTTGTGATCAGAACCAATTGTCAGACACTGTGTCCAGCAAGAAACAATTATGTTTGCATTGCCCCAAGGAAGACTGCATGAACAGAGACCGCAGTCCCAGCACATCTCTCACCGGCTCACCATCACTGCTGCCGACGCAGGAACAGAGCCAGACCATCACCACGCATTAACCAGTCCCCCGAGAGCTGCACAAAGACCAGACTGGCTCCTGGGCCCTGTCGCGCCCGTATCGTCAGTACACTGCAAATGCACAAGCCTGCTTGCTTTCCCGACTGCTAGCTAAACATTCAATTTAGATGTGTGAATAGAGCTGAGAGCTGCTATTCTGCTCCTGCTCGCTTGTACACTGTGCTGCTGCTGGACTGAATGTGAATAATTCGAGCCCTTGGGACAGTACCATCGGCAAGGTAACAGCCACCATCAGTGTCACCCACTGCAGCTCGGCTGTAGCACACCTTTACATCTGCTCCAGTAGCAGGAATCAAATCACAGGCATGGGGGAGAATGAATTTTTGGCATCCTTATCCAAACCTGACAGCCCTTTCCCAAGAGACTCTCATCCCTGCCACGTCTTCCAGTTTTAGTCAGGTTTGTTCTCTTACCACTGAAGATTTCTTTTTTTCAGCATAGTCTCTGTATACCATCATATATAACGATGTACTCGGGTCTATATACCCAATAGCTGAATGCAGCCTTGCATGAGACCTGCCGGAATCAAAGTGCTGCCATTCTGCGAGGGTGTCAGCATAACCCGTAACAGAGAACCCACTAAACTGTCCAACACGACAGAGGGGGAGAAAGGAGTGGGTGCCCACGCTTTGGGCAGTGCCTGCTTTGCAACGTGATCTCAAAGCTTCCCATTTAGCTCATGCCAACGTGCCCCCCTGAGGTGGAGGCTGCAAAGGAGGGGGGCCACGCATTCGTATCGATCACAAGGGAAATTGTGCTGTCCAGCGTCTGGACACTGCACCTCTGAACACAAAGCAGGGGGAGATACCACGCCAGCAGATAAGCTGAATGGGATCTAGCTGTGTGCCCTGGCAGCAAAGGCACCCGAGGGTGTCCTGGGCTTACGGACAGGAGCGCAGCCAGCAGATGGAGGGAGGCAATTACCCTGCCCACTCAACACCCATTAGACAGCACCTAAAACACTGTACCCAGTTTTGCACCCCACAGCATAAGAAAAACATTGATGAAGTGACCAAGTTCAGCAGAGGAGCACTGGATGGCCGAGGGCTCCAGCACTCATCCCGTGATGAAAGGCTGCCCAGAGAGTTTGCACAGTCTCCATCCTTGGAGTTTTTCAAGCACAGACTGCATAAAGATGTATAAAGTGAGCTATCCAGTTTTATCTCATATCTGACCCTGCTTTCAGCAGGTTTGCTGAGATAACCTCTGAGGTCCCTTCCAACCAGAATTATCGTATGAAGATGTATGGTTGACAGCTGGCTGAATATGAGCCAGCAGTGGGCCCAGGTGGCCAAGAGCGCTTGCGTCAGGAATAGCGTGGCCAGCAGGACTACTGAAGCGGTCGTCCCTCTGTACCGGCACTGGTGAGGCCACATCTGGAATACTGTGTGCAGTTTTGGGACCTTCACTACAAGAAGGACACTGAGGGGCTGGAGCGTGTCCAGAGAAGGGCAACGGAGCTGGGGCAGGGTCTGGAGCACAGGGCTGGTGGGGAGCGGCTGAGGGAGCTGGGGGTGTTCAGCCTGGAGAAGAGGAGGCTGAGGGGAGACCTGATCGCTCTGCAGCTCCTGGCAGGAGGGGGCAGGGAGGGGGGGGTTGGTCTCTTCTCCCAAGTAACAAGCGATGGGATGAGAGGAAACAGCTTCAAGTTGCACCAGGGGAGGTTTAGATTGGATATTAGGAGAAATTTCTTCACCGAAAGGGTTGTCAAGCACTGGAACAGGCTGCCCAGGCAAGCGGTTGAGTCCCCATCCCTGGAGGTATTTAAAAGACGTGTAGATGTGGTGCTTAGGGACGTGGTTTAGTGGTGGACTTGGCAGTGCTAGGTTAATGGTTGGACTGGATGATCTTAAAGGTCTTTTCCAACCTAACCGATTCTGTGATTCTCTAAGACTGTCTAGCCCTGCAAGCTGTGACCGATATTGAATGCAAAGAGCAGGCAAAGAGCAGGCAGTCCTTCCTAACCTCCGGCAAGCATCGTTTTAGGCACTTCCCAAGCAAAGATTACAGCAATGTGTTGAACAGGCCAGGTCTCCATGAATTTTTAATACTTTGGCCTCCACAGCTCCTCCTGCGCTACAACACAGAAACCAAAGAGGTGCTACAAAGTGCATCAGCAGCAAGATGAGGGTCACCCTGTGACCCCACATCTCCTCTGCTGCATCTATTCTCCATTTAACGCTCACTCCTCCTCTGCAACTTGAGAGCAGGGAACCACATAAGCATGGGCCTTAAAGCTCACCACCCTTTCCCCACTAAGCAGCTGCCACTTGTACAAGGCAACGGCTCTGTAACCATTTCCCCATCGCTCAGAGGAACTGCAAGATCAAGGCTGAACTGCTCTTACTTTTGTATTCCAGGTGAAAACCGGCAGCAGAGACACTGATATCCGAATAGAAATGCAGATAGAGCTGGTTTGAAGTGCTGTTCAGCAGCGCAGGCACTGTAGTTCCTGGCAAAACAAGAGGTGCACAAAGATACTGAAGAGGATTCTTTTTTCCTCCTCCATGTCCTCGGAGACTAGCTGCAGAAGAGGCTGAGAACAGAAAGTCCTTTAACTTAACAAGCTCTGTTGGTTTTGATCAGGTTCTAATGAGGCCAACCGAGAAATACCCAAGGCCTCTCCGCAATGGCCTTTTCAAAGTCTACTGACAAATTTCATCATGTGAAGTTTTACCACTTACAGACCAGACAGACTAAAAGCATCGAGAAGGGAACTGGTGATGAGAAATGGCGTGGGTGGAGCGCAGGTCCCCCGCAAGGTCCAGACTCCTTCTCCTGCCTCATTCCCTGGAAGCTGTTACAGCACCAGGTCAAGGCAGTTCTATCCCAAATGCAACGGTGGGAGCAGAGTCTGCTGGTCTTGATGCATGACCTTTCTCCTTACCAACCTCAAAGCACTTGGAACACATTTGTTCATTAAATAAGCAAGAATCAGCCCATCAGTTTGCAAGTGGCTCTGCTATCTGAAAGCTTTACAATGTTCTTGGGCCTCCTGCTACTCCCTGCTCTGCTGAAAGCCACGGTCCCCACTGCTGGGCATAAGAAAAGTTGTTTTGTAGCCCTTCACCCCTTTTGGTGCAAATCGGCCAGGTTGGGTTAACCCACCAAGTGCAGTGGTCTGAGCTAACCCCGCACAAACCAGCAGCGCTGCGGGAACTCCCACTTCCAGGCTGTGGAAGTGCTCACGGGTTTGTGCAAAAAACCCAAACCCAACCCACTGGTTTTGTGTTTAAGGCTCTCTATCAACATTTTCTGCAGGAAGACAGTAGTCAAATTCCCAAGTCAACAAAGCATATGCTTCCCTTTAAGCACATGCTTAAATCTATTCCTAGTTTCTGAAACACTTAAGCATATGCTTAATTTTATGTCTGTGCTGAAGTCCAGCTGACGTGAATAGGAATTAAGCGTGCACTGATGGGCTTCCCTGAACACGATGCTGAACACGTACCAGAGAAACTTCCCAGCATGGTGGCTGTGTTATCGCCTCCATCGAACACTTCCAGGGAATCCCAGTTCTGCTCAGTAACAAAACTGATCACCTGTATCTGAAGGGAAAAAAGAAAAAAGTAACAGTACAACTCCTGCAATCATGCCAATAAACCAAAATAATATCAATGAAAGGGCCACTAATAAAGTTAACAACACACCCTGGGGCTTTAAGTCAGCACTGCTGTTTATCTGTGCTAATGCACTGGCAAAACTTGGAGACTGCCTTTGACTATTGCCATTTGGGTTATACGGCTATCTTCCAGCAAGCTCCACACTCCAAACTTCTGTATCGGGGTGCTGTCTTCTACTGCTACAAAGGGAGAGCTCCTGTAATTTCACAGCTAATTCACAGCAGCTGAGAATCTGAGCCTTTGTTTCTGCTTTGAGAAATCCCTGAAGACTTTTGCAACACTTTCAAATGAAAGCAACCAATAGCAACCCAAAAGCTAAAATAAAACCAAAGAAACCCCCATTAAACCACACAATTTTTTTAATCCAATGGAGTTTCCACAACTGCCTTGTTTCTCAGCTTTCAGTCAAATCACTCAAGTTGCATTTTCAAGTTTCCCACCTTTCTCTGCCATGCCCCATAAGGTTTGGAGGCTTAACAGAGTCACTTGACTCCATTAGTTAGAATATCAATGCAATCCTCAAATGAGCTACACCGTGAGATCTGATAAATCTGCATTTACACTGAAAAGCAGCTCTTATACTTGAGCAAAGATCTACATTGCATAGATTTCCTTGATTACCATTAAAATGGATTCTGCCTTTATTCCTAAATACTGGGAGTTCAAAGTATTCAGCGTCCCATTAAGAAAAATAAGCTGTGCTGTAGAACAAGTTTGGTGAACAGCCTGAGAGAGTCGGACAGCAAACCTGAGAGAGAGCCAACAGTATTTGGGGAAACCAGCTTCAATCTGTAAGCTCTAGATGAAATTTTCAAACACCAGATACCTCAAATTAAACTTCTAGGCCAACAACCTAAAAAAGGACTCAAAGACAAATCAGGAGCATAAATGACTTGTAGAACTTGGCCCCAAACAAAAGGCGTCATTTCTTGGCACGTGGCAGAGGCCGCAGTTGTTCAGCACCACTGCCGGTGGGTTTGGGGAGAATGCCGGAACTTTGGTAATTCAGCCCGGTAGATTTGCCTTTACTTCCAGCCTTCACACATCTGCTTACTGCAGAGCCTCGATTCTTTTGAGGTCTCTTTGGATGAAGATTTCCTACTAAGCCTAATGCTTCTGATCTGCAGTCGTCCTGTGGAATTCAACAGAATTACTCCCGTAAGCACAGAGCTCAGCAGGACATGTTCACCGGACTGAATGCCGCAAAGAGATTTCAGCGCCCTGCAAATCCTGACCGCACGCACATGCATGCACACGCACGCACATGCACGCACACGCTCACCCTTCCCTCTGGTAATTCTGTGAACCCCCCCTTTTTTCCTGCAGTGTTCTTATTCTGTATTTACTCATCCACTCCACATATCTTGCTTGCCTTTGCCCTGCTAAACATAAAATAACACATTTAAAAAAATAATAATAAAAAATATCAACCCCCATTACTTCTGCCATTTTAACCTTTTTCCTCCTTGATTTATTCTGAATACTAACGCATGCTATAAAGTTCCTGCAAAGTTGTTGTTTCC